GAATCATTGTCAAACAATGTTATTCGAAGATCAACCAATGAGAATGGTGTAACTGCTTTGTCCTTTTTTGGACCTATCAGTAGTTCACACTTTCTTTGTGCGCCTTTTTGGTCGGCGGGGGGTACTCGAAACGCAAATCTACAGCTTGACAGTCGAAACTTTTACGCTTTAGGTACACGCTTGATGGCCAGTCGTTTGGGATTCACGTGATATTAATGTGCGATTGTTTGGTTTTAATCCCACGCGAATTCAGACATGAGGCATGTATGTGTGCACTCATGTTCTGATCTGAGGTCTTACTCAGTAAGTTCATTATTGCCAACCTTCACACAACATTCCCATCACCTATCGGTATCACCTGTCGAGGTCTTCATTGAATCAACCTCTGAAAGAACGAAAGCAAATCGATTTGCATGTGATTCCGGTTGAAAACAGGGATGTCTGCGTTCGCGCAGGTCACAGAGATTCCTTCGCCCGGGAATGAGGATAATTGGACTGGACAAAAAAAGGAGAAACTATTTACTAGATCTTTTAATTTGCCACGAACAGTCATCATTGCCTAAAATACTAGAAAAAATGTCCCGACTTTTCTCGCAGCCACTTCTCTCCCAATGATGGAAAACTGTAGAGTTACCTCAATTTGTTCCAGTGCGTTTTGGATTTCAATATTCACAATTGAACTACATTTCACCGATACACATGCTCATCGTTTTATTTGGTGTAGAACGGCTCGACTTTCAGTTGATGCCAATATTCCCTATCCGGTTCTACCCTAGTTCTTTGCCTTTCCTACCTGTCAACGACAAGAGTAAACGTAATCGTTCGGAATCACTGCTGTCGCGTTCAGCTTGAATCACGCGGCGTGCGCGCGACCGTACACACACCTCGTCAGATTTTGATGTCCTGCAGTTGTCAAATATCATTGTACTCTGATTGATTTGATCAGGTGACGTAGACGTGATTAATAGAAATGGTACAATTTCTAGTTAATTATTTACTCTGGTCACAGAATTGTCCTCCTTTTTCAGGTGAAAGATGACTTTGATCGGATGACGTTTGCGACAGGGGTCTGGGGTGGGTGGGTGGGAGGGTACTGAGTGTGGTGGGTCCCACTATCGGCCAATCTATCGATCCAGCCCGCAGATCAAAAACTGCAAAGCCTGGGTTATACGGGATCACAAAATTCGAAAGACATTAAAAATCTTTAGACAATGCGATTTTGAGATGAAATTCCACACCCTCTTGCCTTCATGTGAATCTCAAAAGGGGTTCATCAAATTGCAGGTTTTAGCCAAATGCAGACATAGAGATATCCATCGGGCGCACGGCACAAATAGAAACCAAGTGGTTTAAACTCAGTGCGGCTCAGTTTTAAGAACGATTAACCATACACCTTCATGCGGCGGTTTCAGTTAGTCTTTTACTTGTCCATTCGGATAAAAGAGTAGCAGGAAGAGTGGAATGTTAAGAATTATGTAGAGGAGAAAATAAAAGCTTCCAGTGGATTAAGGTTGCAAACAGACTGAGAAGCTATTCGACACTCAGCCATAAAGATTAACGTCTCTTACCATCAGTTAAAAAGGTTCCGAAGTCCCGATTCAAGGAGCCTAACGGAACCTATGTGAGCAAGTTTCCTGGTCCGGGGTTTTATAGTATCATGCCATGTCTTAGTTTAATTACCCTAAACACGACTCCTTCATTAGTCGATTTGGTAAACACCGCTTCCTATAGCAGTCCATTTGGTGACATGCGTAACACATGTTCCAACCAACGTAATCTATGGAGGCCGACCACTTGCTCAACTGGGCGACCGTGATTGCCTAAAATCGTGAGCATAAACGTCAGCAGTACTTGTCCACATGCAATGCATCGTAGACAGCAATATCTAACCTAAGAATTCTTTATTTAGTTTAGTGAAACCACACATGGAAACGGAACTAAACAAGGTGGTCATTCTTGTTCGTGGCTAGTTATGTGCAAACGTTTATGCTAGCCAATCCATATAAAGGCCCAACCAGTTTTGATCAGCGAGAGGGAACAGAGCAAGGTCATGGATAGATCCGATAATTCTTGCTAAATTTGGCGGTAATTTTAGTTCTGATCACTTCTGGTACAAATAGTAATCAGATAAACGATTGCGGACTGTTTGCAGACAGTGTTTCAAGTGTGAATACCACTCCTCATCGTTTTTCAGTTCCCTGCCTCTTGTTCTGTTTGACTAAAGCAATAAACCCGTTGGACAACAAGTGCAAACCAGAGTCTGGAAATGAAACGCTTTGACAATTCTGTACCTACAGTGGTTTTCAACAACTATACTTTGCCGGTTTTGAACAAGTAATTCGGGGTTGATTGCATCGCTCATCGGCGCCGGTTTCATTTTTCTCGTGCTCAATTTTATGGTTCACTGGTTTCCGCACTGTACAGTCAAGTATGGGCTGGAAATAGTGAGCACCCAAAAAGGACTGTCAGCTGTTTAAAAAAACAAAACAGAGAACAGCCTCTTAGATGGAACAAGACTAAATATCCTGGTTCTTGTGATTTTTCCGTCAATCGAAGACCGGGTGTGGGCGCTCCAGACGAAAACCTTGATTGTCTAGAATTTTATTGTTCTATGAGCCCATTTAATTTCACAGGCAACAGGCGGATCCCTGTTTTCCGGTGTTACCGAAGTCATACGGGTCAGTCCAATCGTGATATCCGAAACAAATGCAGTCGCCCTCTCTCTCTACAGGTGGATCGTTGACCACAGCTCATAAGCTTCGGCACCCGCTTTGATCTCCGATAGGGTTGCTGATAATGAAACAGCTGCCTAGTGCTTTTGTCAACCACTGCACACAAAACATTCTATTACCGTTAACTTTAAATTTGCATTGTCTTACAAGGGGAAAAAGTGTAAAAATGTTACAAGTTACACTTTTGTCTAACTGTTTGAGAGGTTTTCGTCACGAACTCCGGATAGGTTGTGCAGAGTCAATGTGTCCGTGATTTCTGAAACGCTTTGGAAGCTCTGCTATACGGTACTAGCTTTCCTATTCCGATTCTTTGGTAGCAGAGATCCATCACTTCCATTGACATTCGTACCCAGGCACAAGGGACGGTTAATCCGACGTGCCAACCATGCGAGTTGTCCGAACAGACTATCAACACACTGATATATCATTATTATTACTCCACTTAACCAACTGCATAGAACTGGCACATGTACCACAACATATGAGGCCAGAACCGTAAGACAATAGGATGAAGCTCAGAGTTTGCAGTCCATTGGAGGGCGATGTCCAGTTCATGGGATCATTTGCCTTTTGGGTGAGGTTCTACGTCCAAGGTGCTGAATAAATCTCGATGCCCAATCGAACCGGTGATCATCACTACAATCTGGAAGGTGTGTTCCGTACGCTTCCTCTTGGTTGGTTTAAATTCAAAGCTTTTTGCCAACTCACCTAGGTGAACTGCCAGTGGTTCACCAACCCGGTTACAATCCCAGATATTGGTTTTTCCCCCTCTCACTTTAATGGGAACACACCTCCGCCATGGAAAAGCAGTGAGTGGGGCTTCCTCAGCAGAGGCTATTTGAGATGCTTGGTCATAGAGGAGCATTTTACTAGGTGTAAGGGTGACTAGTCATAACCGGAGACACACACCTTGAACGTATTGCACTTTTATCTAGCTCAGTCTCTTGTATTTGGACAGAATGCGTTAACAAACCCACCTTTATCAGATAATTCTTTTGAATTGCATAGTATCAGTTTTGGGCGATTGGGTGGGCGTAGATTATTCACTACTTTGATTTATCACAGCACACCCGGTAACCTATATTCTACCGCTTAAAAAAAGTTAGTAAAAATAATAATAACACGTTAAATAACTAAACGAATCCAAGAAGGGCAATCACAATCATTGATTTGTGAGAATGATATTGGAAACGGAAATCTACTTCCACATTGAGAGCTGCAATGCACCAGTTTGATCAGTACCTGTTTCAAAGAACATGTATACATGATGTACGTTTATTGCTTGTATATTTTCGATGAATTCGTCTCCTCGACAGTACCCGAAAAATGCATAAGTCATCAGTTGAGGATGAAGTTAAAGAAGAACAAATACTGACAGTCCAAAAGGAAGCCCAATTTCTTACAAATGAGATACTGCAGCTGAGAGCATAATCACGGTTTTAGACTCCTCGATGAAGGTAATGTTTAGCGCTACCAAACTGGAGTGCAGGTCTACAACCGTTTCCTTTAAACAAAGGAAAACTTGTCACTATCGAGCTCTTCAATGATAACCCAACAGTCCAAGTGTTACTTGTTTTGGGAGGACGACGAAGTATTTAGCCAAGTGTATCAAACGACACCAATCACGTCCATTTGGAATCGGAGACGGAGGGAGTGTGTTCGTCTTGTCTTTTCCAGTCGCCACTCGTATGATAGAGTGGGGATACTCGTTTGAAATGGATACCACATTTGCGGTACCAGACGGAGTTCCGTTAAATTATCCAGAAGCTGTCAAGTTCTAAACACTAAAATGATTAGTACCCGTCTGTCGAAGCCTGGCTCCGTTCCCATGAGGACTTAATTGAAGCACCCGAACTTCCATAACCCTGCTGTTGATTACATCACCCGTAAACAGATCACCAGGTCGGACGGTCGAAAGATGTGTAACACATGCAAAAAATTACAACGACGAATGCTCATTCTTACTGGAATCCATTGAATGCTTAAATGACCTGACCAACCAACAAACGGAACTCATTCTTTCGCTCCTCAACTGTTTACTTCAGCACATTTGATGGAAATGATTTGAACCTCAAATCGCCAAGAACACGTATCCTCCTATATCGCCATGAATACTAATGATAATAGTATTAATGATGATAGTATTAAGATTAATTATAATATAGAACTCACTGGTAATGTCGGCGCTATTGACTTCTAGGATTTTGACTAAACACAAAAAGACAGTTTGGCAGCATGTAACAGGATCACCTGTTGACTCCTACAGATTCAAGTTCTTCGAGCTCTAGCAAAGGGACATATTTTCTTCCGTTTCAATGTGGGTTGCATAGTGGATGCATTATTGATCGGATGTGGACAACCGGTCACGTGGCATTCATTGTTCAACAAGGCCGCTGCCCGATCCTGTTGTGACACACAGTTCAGCGGATTTCGAGTACACGCTTCGCCTTTGGACAATACTGAGGCCAACAGATTGCTATCCATAGAGTTAGACAAGTAACTCATGCCGCATTGCTGATTGCCCGGGTGAATTGGTCGACTGAATAGGATCAGACATGGCCAGACATAATGATGCACCATGGTCGCAGAGAAGTCCGAATCGTAGCTACGGCGATAGCTGTTTACCGTTCACAACCGATGGGAGTGGGTGGTAGGTGGAAAAGAGGCGTGATTAGTGAGGAATGAATTGAAAAAAAAACGCGTCGAAAATGACTACAGCAAGTTGTCAAAGTAAATAAAAAACCAATTGTTACTATGTCAATAGACTCAGAGTGAATGACTTGAATTGGTCACACGGGCAAGCTAAACACGTGACCGGTCTTCCATGAGCAAGATAACTTTTTCACAAAGAACAGCTTCCGTCCTGAGATGATCATGGACAAGCAGAGATATTTCAGCTCACTTCAGTTCTTGTACAATCAACAGTACTCAGTAAAGATGGTTGAGTATAATATAGTGAACAAATGACAAGAGTAGAAACCAATCTATGCTGATATAACCATAAAAATCGACATCTAATTCACGACTGTATTTATCCATTGGTGAGGGTTTTGTAAAGAATTCACTTGGACAAAAAAAATCAAATTTTCATTAGAAATGACGGAAAACCATTTCAATAACATTTGCACTCCGAAATTACACTTCCATTGTGCAGAAAAGCATAATGATGTCCTATGGTTTCGATGCATCTGGGTGACAAACGTTTGTTTTGTGGCCTATTGGTTTACCTCGCTTCGTCTACCAAGCACTGGCTTGGGAAGTTCTTTCAGCGCCAAGTCATTAAGACAATTTAGTCTCTTTTTATCAGCACAATCACTAATGGAAAACCTCAGCATCTCGGTGCATCAATGTCACTGATGCCTCGCAATCATCTGTAGTGTCTATCTATAGAGAAGTGTTTTAACTGATGCCTTAGTCAAGTTGACCGAACAGACCAGCCGTAAGCATTTTATTTGATATCAAAAATTCATGACACATCCTCAAATGACAACTCTTATTGGACGTAGCACATTGCACCAAACAGTGGTCAACTGACTGATGCATGACTTTCAATCAACAGTTATGTGAACATACTGTGATGTTTCGTAAAAGAAACAGTCCTTGGATTTTTTCATTGGTGGATGGGACTTTGTTTCTGCATAAAGAGCTCACATTTGACAAAAGAAATTTTCACAAAATCAGGCAAAAAAAGGCGGATGCATGCAGTTATTAACAGTCATAACATCGTAGTTGAACAATGATTGTCACAGTGGAGAAGAGAAGCCTAGTTGCAGAGAACATTTTGAGGATAGGAAAACTAACTGAACTGATTTGTGGATGCCGCGCCTAGCTCGGTTTGTACAGTGTCAATGATCACCAGCATTGATTGTCGCACTGAAACTTTTAGTGCACAGATGAGGTTAGCTTCCTATCGGGAATGACTCTTGCCCTAATCCAGCTCAGGCAAAACTTCAAATAACCAATGTGTACAGTTCATGTGGTTCTTGTGTTTTCTGGCTTATTGACCGCTTCATTAGTGTTGCAAGTTTACGAATAGAGTTTGAGATTTAGACGACTCATTTAAGGAAATTGTGATATGCAGATATTTTCTTCCAATAGACAAGTTTAACGAGGGTTTCACTCTACGAAACTCCTGGTGCCTCTCTTACATGAGAGTTTTGCATGCCGATTGGTCTGATTTATTTTTTAGGAAAATTTCAGTCTAATTCCGCGTGGTATCCTCAATGGTCTGGATCAATATTTTTTAATTAGCGTATTGCTGTCGGGATTAGTTTTTATTCTTTTATTGTTTGATCGTTAGTTAGAATGTTTTACCATTTTGCAGATACTAATGTCACAAAATTACATTTAAACATGGTGTGAACAAAATTCGGGCAGGGACTCCCAATCCTTATCCCCGAGCTTCACAGTTGACGGTCATCGCCTTGTGCGAATGGCTCAATCCATTAGGAGTACCAAGCTTGGTTATTTTCCATCAAACAGAAGACAAAATTCTATTTGAGAAGGGTCATTTACTGGTGAGAAGTTAATCCTTGTGAATACCGCATTTGCCAAATTTATTGTGAACTATGTGTCAAGGTTTTCTCATGGCGACCGGTCAAATTTACGTCTGGTTTCCGCATGGAAAATCCATGGATTCACATTCGCATTTAATTTTCGTAATGTTGAGCTAGTTTGGAAATAACCTTATGCCCTACTAGAAACGTACACCTGCCTCAATTAGTGCAACTCGCGTTTTGTATTTTTATTTTCAGCAATAGCACTGAATCAAAATTTCTGGTACGAGCTGACAAAAGTGCACATTAAAAATAGGGAGAGATAGAGAAAACAACTGCTGACAATTCACGTGTATCAGGTGATTTATTCAACAGTGAGGAAGTAATTAAATTGTCTGGACTAACTCACCATTTCGGATCGTACTTATCGGCAGGTTTCGCCGACCGGTCCACATCCACGTGCCACACACGCAGGGATCCATTCTGATGTGCAACACCGCTGGCAAATGAACGACTCGCGACAGCCTGATGCTCTGTTAGAAGATACCAGGCGAGTGAGCAAACTTCACGAATCAACTCGTCTAGTGCATCTAGTTCAATCTGAGCTAATGGAACCCCGCGTATCGGTTCATTACTATCATAGTATGGTGATTCGGCAGCTGATGTCACACGGCAAGCACAATCCGGTGGGGGTCGGCGTGTGAGACGTCGTGTGGTAGCCAGGAACAGTCGGGTTAATTGTTGCGTGTCGAGTGGAATACTGCTTGATGTGTTTGTCTGATATGGAATGGTCGTGGATCCGCGCATTGCGGTGTCAAAGAAAGTTCCGGACATATTCGCGGCTGGACACATACGACGAAGTTGTCTGCGAGTGATTGCAAAACAAACCTTTGTGAAAGACCGAAAATTCCCGGAAAACAGGGAAAGATGAGAGTTTAATGGTTGCATTGAGTCGGTCCGAAGTGGTTTAAGTTTGACAATCACAGATTGCCTTCAGAAATGAATATTGTCAATGGCATTATGAACTATTTTTTTACTTGAAACGTACTAAAATACCTATAATAATTAGTATTGACGATAAAAATGACATTCTTGTACTGTGTCTGTGAGTAGAAAGTACCGTGAGTGAAACTATTTGGCTGCGGTGGTATAGGTCATCCAAACAGCCACCTGGAAGTCCTGAATAAAAACCCCGCCACCTAAGCCCATCTTTCTAATTTCTGTATTTCCTCAAGTAAGCTGTGTTTGGCCTCACTGCCTTACGGAAAGTTGACGGTACAGTTGTAGATTCAATAAAAAACGAAGTGGAAGCATTCATTTATTTATTATCATACATAATGTCACGATTGTCACCTGTTTTTTTTTACATTTTCCCATATTGTGAGCCTACATGGCACTCGTAAAAAAGTCACCCAGACAGTTTTTTTAAACTAGCTGAGAAAACGAGAAAAATCGTAATGCCGAGCTGCTATACGATCTTTCCTCATAATATTCGTCTGACTGCGAACCAACATGACAAACATTATATCTTCACGCTATTGATTGATGTTTCTGTGTGCGCTCACATCCTACCCTCTCCTCCGATCACCATTTGGGGTTACACTTCCTTGATTCGAGGAATGCACTTGAACAAACAAAGTTTTCCATCCTCAGGGGCCCAAATTTTATGAATCAAGTCCTTATAGGTACAATAAAACTATGTTCTAATAACACATTCTAATGGATATGGCCCAGTATTTATTTTGTGTTGCAAATCCGCTTGTGTAATTAAAATATTTTACTTCGCTTTCACAGTAAGTTGTAATTTTGGTGATAGCTTATATCATTTTCTACACTAACTGCATTTCTAGTAGATCTATTTACCTGTGTTGTGTAGAATATGATCCTCTGGCAACGTTCGTAGTCTGCCATGCCACCAGCTTGGAGCCTATTCATAGACTGAACACGAACGTTTGTGAATATGTCATTGTATCGTGCCACGAGCGGAGATAGCCACTGGTGCAAATCATCGCTGGAGCTGCGCTGATACAAACGACTATCTGATGCGCTCAGAATACCCGAATCAGGCATTGAGACTGGACGAATGAACACTGGGATGACGGCAGATGAGGCCTGGCTGGACTGCTCCAGATCACTGAGTAAAAGATGACAGTTTGATCAAGAGATAAATGGTTCGTGCAAAACACAATCCAGCCTTTATATGTTTCTACACTGTTTTGAGAATTTTGGACAGTCAAATTGCAACAAAGGCAATGAAAATCAGCAGACTAACATTGTTCCTAATTCACTCAGTATGCTGCTACTGCTGTTTCTTTTTATTATAACCTATGCCTAATGATTGGCGGTGAAAGATAACCTCAATGTTTTCATATTTCAAATTGAAATTCGGTACTTAAGTTTGATAATAATAGCAGTATCAGATTAACTCATCCTATTCAGATAGTTGGCAGATTTAATCCACCGGGGTTTTTTCAGTATGGCTTTTTGCCCTCTGAGAGCTCAGTTAGCCACCACATGGTAATTGCCATTCATTTGAAGTATTTTGGTGCAGTGCCCAGGAAATGTTATTGACAGCATTTTTATTCTTGTTAGGAATCGTTTGCATCATGACAAACGTGTTTGTCTGTTTCGAGACTGCCAACCTTTAGTGTCTGAGCGGAATGCATTTCATCTGTGTGGAATAAANCCCCGCCAATAATCTTGGGAACACTGAGCTCTGGCTTAAGGGTACAGCTGCTCGTGTACGGTGTGCAAGTAATCTCAAATCCGGGAAGTACTTGGCGATCTATTTTAGACAGTTTGATTAATGTTACTAACACGTAAACACGTGACTAACTGCGATAAAAATTTGGAAACAGAAGGAAAATGCATTGATTCAACTACTATCAGTGAAACTTACGATAGCTGGTAGAATACAAACAATGTTCGCTTCAACGTCTGTGCTCACGCACATAGAACGAAGTCTATTTCTTGTTTCGCGAAGCTGCCATAACTGTTTTGTTTTACAGTCACCGGGACACAAAACGCTTTGTATTAGGTCCAACTGATAACGACCAGAAAAAATAATAGTTTGTGAAAGATTCAGTTAAGGTTCCGCAACTTAAACAAAACAGCTTACTTTTTCATGCAACAGTTCACAGGTGTAACACTGCACGATCGAGCCGGTTGGGTGAATATTGCCGTTGAAAATGACGCGTTTGTTGCCTGGTTTGATTGACAATCCGCAAACTGACTTTCCATTGATCTGCATTCCGTTTGCTTTCGAAGTTGTTCGCGTAACTTCCTGGCCAGCCGGTCACACTGGTTTTGACTCTCTAGAAGCCTGTAAAGTAATATTTATCAAAGTTGATAAAAAAACAAAATACGTTTCATCAGGCGCATGTAAAACTGTTTTTAAATTGTTCATCCTGAAGATACCGTAGGCTTTTAATTGGATTGTTAAATCTCACCTAACACAAAGGTAAATCAGTTGATTCTTCTAAAAATTACATTAGTTGAACAGCCAAAATCGAAGTAAGTGAGAGAAATTTGCATATCTTGCCTATTACTGCCCATCTTGTAAAATCTGTGCGCAGTTAAAATGAGAACCATTTATCATCCAAGTATATTTTTCCAACCTAACAAACTATCCCATCGTGCTTATGTTCATAATTTACCTCATAGGATTTTGTTTTGAATACCTGCGTTCAACATGATCGGAAACAGACCGTATTTGAATAACCTTGCGGTACAATTTAGTGGACCATGGACAAAGTACCCATTCTGTTTCACTCACTCGTAATCCATTGAGGTAAACAAAGATATTTCATTCTCTACAAAGGCGAAGGACGAGAATGCTTCAAACTAACGAATTATTTTTTTACTCAACAGTATGGGACCTTTTGAATATTTATATAATGTTGATCCAATAGAAATGTAAAGGTTTTCCGCCAAGTCAATCGGAAAGCTTTCACATACACACATCATACGGTTATTCTGAATAGGAAATTTTAATGAAACTAAAATTTGTGAAAAAATGTGGACAGAAACAAATTTGAATGCGTACATTTCAAGCAGTTCTGAATCAAGGTTTGATGGCGGTGCGGTTTTGGTCACCGTTTGCACTGAATTCGGCTGGAAATTGTCCAAATTCGCAGGACCTTGGCATGGTTGTGTAGAGATACATCGGATGGAGGAGCAAGTGCGACGCATTACTGGCGATTCAGATTCACGTCGAACAGGGCTGCAGCTACGAGCTCTTGTACGACTCTGTCGAAGTCCGGAACAGGCATTTAAGCCACCTTTAGGAGTGTGAATTAAATTTGTTTGTTTTTATTGTTGATATTCGAAACTATGAACATTATGGTAAAATGTACTAATGAAATTTTGCTGATAGGTTGAATTGATAGTTAGCATTTTCGCCGTAATTTTTCAAAACAATATAATTCATTTTTTTCTAAATATAGCTAAGATATCACTGAAGCTGAAAATAATGTTTATGTGATGTATAGTTTATACAAGCTGTCAACAAATCTGACAGTTGTGCAAAATAGCAGAAGGCAGAACGCGAACATTTTGGTGATATTATGACAAAACACTGAATTATGCAAATTTGCGTGGAACATTCAAATTGCAAGTAACTAGAAGAAAGTAAAAATACGTATTCAAGTCCTTTGCATTGAACTAATAAAGTTTCGAACAATTTGATTTTTAAAATTTTCATTTTCGTTTATATTAAATAAACACTCGCATTTTATAAAAGAAAGGAATAGCAAATTAAATTCTCCTGAATTTTCCACGGTCTCCTGTTTTCTAACAAAAATAGGCTTTTTAAGTAAACACATCAAAACGCAGAAGTAGGACACTGTCTTGTAGAGATAGAGCACAACCAATGGTGGCTTAATTAAATAGATTCATGTTTGTCTTTAACTTAAGTAAAATTCATAAACTTGTATCTTTTCGTGTAACATTGTCTCACGCAAATTCTGGAGCAAAAACCAACTGTCGATAGTTAGCGTGCCTGCTTAATGTCTCATAAGAGATTAAACCATTATAGATGAGTTAAAAGAGTCAAAAACAAAGTTAATAAGGTACAAACGCAGTTTTCACAGAGGCATCTGGAGTAACCTCCTTTGTGATATATATATATATATCATGTTGCGTAGAATATCTTAAACGTAAGAACAACCCGAATTTCCTACGTTAAGTTGCCATATACATAGTGCTTACATTTAGTAGCGTCTGGAGATATGATGTTTGGTAATCAACAATATGGTTTTCCTAGAGAAAACTGGCACCTTTGCGTGCCCTCCGATTAATTAAAATTTCAGTCAACCAGTATAACATTCTGCACTGTAAATTTACTGCCCGATTATTAATTTAGCTTTAAAACAGAATAATCTACGGAGTAAGTTGAGTTGAACTACAACAAAAGCTGAATTGCACAAACGGTGAAAAGAGAGGGTCTAAAACTAACTATAATAAAAACTGTCGTAAAATTACCCTTATTAGTGTATTGTCTCCAGAACTCTTGCACTTCATATAGTGCTCCGCATCGTCTTCCAGCTGGGCACCTTGGTCGATATTCTCTGAAGTTTTGCAATGTGTCATAGCAGTTTGCTGCTTTCTGTTTTCTAATAATAATTTCACTTTGATGTTTTCTGTTTCTAATTAGTTATAGCCCTCGATGCATTTTACGTTTCAATTATTGCAAAATTCATTATTCCTGTTTTTCAAACCTTCAACCAATTAAGGGATTGCATTCTTGACTAGAACGAGAGATACTTTTACACTAGATAATTTACCGAATTTCCGATTGTTTTTCCTGAGTCTATTTCAGAAGATAATAACTCAACTTAATTTTCCCAAATTTCGGACGAACATTCTCGGACGGTTTCGCTGTAGCAGTATATTCATTACAGTAACGATAAGCTAATTCCAAACTGCTATGAATTTTATGATATTGCTTAAACTGAACGTGTTTAATAAATAACCAGATACAAACATTCTAACAAGACGCGAACTACAGCTCGACTTAGGCCATATTCCCGGTGTGCTTTGGTTGGGGTACCTGTAAATCTGTGGGAACCGTAAATGATTCAAATGGTTATTTGAATGATTTCTCATGCTCAGATGGTTGCTATTATCGAGTTAAAATCTAAAATTCATTGATAAAGGTTTGAACGCACTTAAAACCATGAGCTGCCTCTTTACTGGTACATTTTTGTTTAAATTCAGAAAAATGTATAACTTTGTGGATAGATCGGAAATGATCATATAACTTGGGTCTGGTGCGTTCGATATTCAAACAATATTGAAAAAGCCTACCCTGGAACTACAAAAACGGAAATCACGTTTGAATTGAGTTTGATTTATTGTGAATGAGTAGAGTAAAATATACTCCAGTTATAGCTGCAACTGGGGCTTTATGGAACGATCCACAGATTGATGAACGCACAGTCAGCACAGGTGACTGTAGTGATGAGAACTACCTTTCACTGAACACAACCTTCCCCTCTTGTATCCCATTGTTTTGCCGCACCAAGGCCACTTTATTGGTCAGCGCGTGTCTGCTTTTACTTTCAGCACGCTCACTCACGCTTCCACATATTCACTTTCGGCTCTGCAGCTTTACACAATATGAACATCATACACTTCGTGAAGTGTTTCGTTCTGTTTTTGTACGAACGCCCTTAGCGACATAGTTACACAATCTCGGAGTTCCGTAAGACCGTGCTTATAAACAGGTGGGCCCGACGTGAAGGGGGTGCCTGTTCAGAAGCTGTCGCCGGGTTTCTCGGGGTAGAGGAAGAAGGACTTTTTGGGACAGGAGTTGCGGGTGGCGCAGCGGATGGAGAATCACTGGTGGGAGGAACAGTTTTCGCCAAATGCGCCGGTTCAAACCAGTTGATGCTAACGATTTCATGTCTAACGTTGCTCTCTATTATATAAAAATTTTTGAAGCATCACTGAACTTTATTTGAGCCCCTGTACGGAGACTGCAGGGGTGAGAAAACCTCTGCCCTGAAAGCAAAAATGTGCTAATCAAAGAGAAGGACTTGGTACGATAGAACAAAGAAATGCAAGAGAGGGAGGTTACATGTGGATCGCGAGGTAGTTTGTGTCACTACAGGAAAACTCGAATCACCGCTTCGTCATCTAGAAGCATCTCACTGATTATGTATGAAAACTACAAAATGAGTGTTAACTGGATTATAAGAATTCAGTCAACTACACAAACATTTTCAAAGTGTTTCGTGTAAATTATAAAAAAAGTTCTGTGATTTAAAATCACTATCTTTGATGTTACGTATAGCCTCTGCGTACCAAGATGTATTCAGCGCTTAGACTTTAACTCCGGTGATATTTGAGGATTACTGGGTACCTAACGTTGCGTAATGTCTTTCATGTTGAGAAACAGTTGGAAACAGATTGAACAGAAGTATGAGATGTATTTGTTCGCCAATGGTGGAAAAACTACTGGATGTTAGAAGGTTATCGCTTATGAATTATTTACTACCTTGGCGTAAAACGTTGGGTGCGCTCTTTGGACTGCAGTTCTCTATGATTTGAAAAAGTCTAGTGTAAAGATGTTCAGAGTATACTGCACATACAGCATAAGCAAGCCATGCCTATGATCACAGTCAGCACAAGGGATCACTCGGCCGTCCCTTGAGTGTCCCCAGAGGACACTCGCCCAAAAATACTAAGAATCCTCTTGATGCGGTGTTGTTATCGTTAGAACACATGAAATCGTTCAGAATAACTAATAAATATTATTCTGAACTATTTGGATTCAAATATATTTGAAGCTATATATTTCATGAAGTCACGAAAATTTAGTTTAATATTGATGCGCTATTTCTAACAAGGAAACCAATTTTTTGACTAATTTTCTTTTCGTCAGTGTCGGTATTGACGTCTCGAAACCGTTTTGTCAGTATGAAACTATCCAATATAGATGGCAGTACAAAATGGTGCCAAAATGGTATTTTCCGAACGTCACCGCGGTGCATGTCGTCTACTCAGTGATGGTGTGTATACAATAGATATATCTTTATAAATGTGAGCTGAAGTTGTAATTACAACTTTTACATGCAATCCACAAACAAAACATGCTTTTATTGAAATTGAAAAGTCATACTTCATCTAAAATTACCATTGTAGACCAAAAAGTGAAGTATCCGAAATAGATCGTGTTGCATGGATGCTGTATCTTCCATAAGCTCACAACAAGTGTTTGTATTTTCAGTGGCGGTCAAATCCTATTAAAAATTATACAGTTGACAACCTATCTCACCCGCATATTTCCATTCCATCGCCTGAATCTTTCGAAAATTTCATAAGATTTCTTAACTTGATTTTCGATGATTCGTTCAACCATAGCTGCGCCCGTTTCACTTTCGGTCGTTTGTATTTTCTCAACTCGACTATGTCCTTCAAAAGTTGAGTAGTTAAACAAATGACCAGATTCCAAAATTCAAATTCAAATCACATGATATAGAGAAACCTTCGCCTGTTGGGCGTCTTGGTAATCGCTGGTTCCGTCCATGGAGTTACTCTCCTGCGAGTGTGAATCTTCTTCCGACTCCCCACGAGGGAGTAATATCTAGAAGATAAAACTTCAGTTCAGTTCAGTTCAGTTCTCACAGGACGAATTGTGGCTCTTGCCAATCAAGCGTCCAGATTTGTGTGTTGTCGGTGAGTTTCCTTGGCTTTCAATACTTCCATATGCAATTTTTCTGACAGGCAGAAATATATGAGGCATTATCACATCCCTTGTGGTTAGGTTATAGGTGCCACTAAACGTTTGCATCAGAGAAAGCCCCTGTAGCGTTTCTTCAACCGACAGTTTCGCAACGGCAGTTTTCTTTTCTTACCTCTTG